GTCCCCCCGCCCAACAGCAGGCAGAGGCGCCAGCAGTGTTCGCGCTCCCTGGCCCACTTTGTCAACAGCCTCTCCCCCTCCCAGACCGGGCGAGAGTCGGCACCCCCAGGGCCCACTGCCGAAAATGGCGGCGGGGAGAAGAAGCAGAAAGGGAAAGGAATGGATGAACTGGAGAAGGAAGTGAATCTGGTAAGGCCGGCCCTCACCAGCATCTCGGGGGGTACCTGGCTGCGGGGTCCCCGTGGCGGCCTCCCCGCTCAGACTCCAGGCAAGAGCTTCTGGGGAGACCGAAGTCTGGGGGAGGGCGGTCCCTCTGACTGAAGAGGGAATCCGGGGGTTCACTTCCTCTCCGAGATCCTTTGCTCTTCTGCCTTTGGGAGAAACAGTTTGTTTATCCTCCTCAACCAGGATGACCACAAACTATCCCTGGATGAGATCAGCCGGAAGTACCAAGTCGACCTCTCCAAGGTGAGTCCCGCCAAGCCTACTCTCGGCTCCTGGCCCGTCTTCCTGCGCCCGGGGATCCTTGGCAAGCCCCCCCCCCCCTACTAGCCCCCCTTCCTCCGTAAGGACGCTTGTGGCAGCCGCCAGAGCAAACTCGGGCCCGCGGGGCCTGGGTCTCTCTCCCCTCCCGTTAAACTCCAGGAGGGGATGCTGAAACAGCATTTTGGCTGAACCCCTGATGCTTTGCGCACTGTGGGAGGGGGATTTCCTCGTTTAGCCTATGATTGATTAAAAACATATTGGTGTTAATCTGCATTAAATAGTTAAACCATTTATTACTTCACCGGATGGTTTTTCATTTCACATGAACTCTATGTTTTGTTTGAATTAATTGAACTTCAAAACACTGGACTGGCCTTTGGCTTCACCCCGAAATTTGTCTCTCTCCCCTCCACTGCATTCGCCCCTTCCTTTGCTGCTCCTTCCCTTCTTCCTGGCCATGGCAGGGCCTGACCAGCGCCCGGGCAGCCGAGATCCTGGCCCAGGATGGCCCCAACGCCCTGACCCCCCCGCCCACCACCCCGGAGTGGGTCAAGTTCTGCCGGCAGCTCTTTGGGGGCTTCTCCATCCTCCTGTGGATCGGGGCCATCCTCTGCTTCCTGGCTTACAGCATCCAGGCAGCGATGGAGGACGAGCCTGCCAACGACAACGTGAGTCCCGTCGCCCCCGAAGAGCAGCCCTGCGGGGCGTGGGAAGCTCGCCTGAGCCGGAGCCACTGGTGCTGAAGCTTCGGGGCTTTTGCTGCGCGTGGAGGCAGGCAGCCCCAATGGGTGGGGCTGCTGCTTTAAAGTGGAGTCCTAAAAACTGCAGGGGGGCCTGCTGGATGCCCAAAGGTCTGAGCCTGGCTCTGATGAGAACCCTGAATTGCACCCTGAAAGGACTGGGGGCCGGGCAGGGAACGGGGGCCCGCAATGGGGCCCGGGCTCCTCCACTGGCTGCGTAACCCCCAAAGGCTTCCCCGCTTGGAAATGATGCAGCCTCTCCGCAACAAATCAGCGACTCCCGGTGAGCTGGGGAGGCAGAGAGACCCAGCGGTTCCTTCCCTGCCCGGCCTGCTAAAATAGCACAAAGCGTTTCATAAGCAGGTGCTGTGGAAATATGAGATCATTCGAACCCTGAGCTCCTGGGCTGGAAACCGGGAGCAGCCAGAACATGAGCTGCGGACGCCAGTTAACGGGGAGCAAAGCCCCACCCAGCACCCAGCTTGAAGCGGGCAAGGGCCAGAATAAAAGCCGGGGAGGGGGCCCAGCCAAGGAGGAGGCGCAGCGGGAGGGAGTTTTGCAGATGCAGCAGCATGTCCAGCTTTCCCCCCAGGGAAGGAGCGTTTCCTTTCACCCCCAGGTCCGCCCAATATTTCTAACTTTCTCATGGCTTTTTCCTCTGAAAGGGCTTTTAACAGCTGCCGCTGTTTGGGAACCTGATTACGGGTTGCAGATCAGCTCCAAACGAGCGAGCGCGGGGGGTGGCAGGGCCCTCAGCGGAGGCTGTTTACGGCAGGTTGGGGAAGAGCAGCAGCAGCAGCAG